CCCGTGTTTTGCTGTGAGCATTCATCATCTGGTGTCACACAGTGGAGTAGGAAATGTCACCCTTTGAGTCACATCCCCAGTGACTCTGTTAGCAATGCTCTGGCTGTACTCCACAGCTGGAGAAAAAAAGGCTTCATGCCTTGCTGGCTGTAGAGCAAACACGCTCCTGCAGCTTCATTTTGTATTCAGCAGCTCTCCAAAACAGTGAACCAGCATGAAAAATGAGGAGGAACACGACTGAAGCTCAGCTGCTGATCTTTCACAACTCAACTGCAAAAAAATAGGAAGTCTGAAAGGAGGCTTTAAAGTACAGATATCAGCAGAAGTATTAAACTGCCTTAATCAAGAAGAGAACACGTGGTCACTCAGTCATTTAATAAATGAAGACATGGATCTCTTCTTCCCCCAGGGCAAGGCAAAAACAAAATTCTAATTTCCCAACTGGGAATACAGCATGGAGCTGGCAGCAAAGTGGAGCTGCTGAAAGATGGTGTAGTTAAAGGTTGAGACTGGTTCAGTGACCTGGCAGGCCTGTGGCTGGAGAATATTGTGACATAAAGTAGTTTAACAGCATCTCCATAGCCCCCCCAGGCCAGCAGTGGGCTTGGAGCCCCTTTGAAGTCCAAAGAGCAGGATGGATGTGAAGTGTATGGGGTTTAATCCTTTTCATTTTCCCTTAAAGAAAAACTGCTTCTCCTATCACCTCATCTCTATTAAAGAAAAAAAAAAAAAAAAACATGAGGAGGGGCATGACCTGTGAAAAACAGGGATTTGTCTGCAGAGGGGATTTTGGGCTGAAAAGAGGAGAAGCAGAGCGAGGCACTGGGTGAAGTCATCCCACTTCCAGCCCATGGTTTGCCTTCCCTGGAACCCAGCACTGGCAGGAACACCTGGATGGAGCCCTGCCCTTCCCAGAGAGCACATCTGGATGGAGCCCTGCCCTTCCCAGAGAGCACATCTGGATGGAGCCCTGTCCTTCCCAGAGAGCACACCTGGATGGAGCCCTGCCCTTCCCAGAGCACATCTGGATGGAGCCCTGCCCTTCCCAGGGAGCACAGCCTGGGCTCTGGGAAGTGCCAGCAGCAGCTCTGGGGCCCTGCAGTGCCAGAACTGCTGTGGAGAGCAAGGGCAAGGTAAATAATTCAGATGAAGATGCTCCAGGGTCTTGGCTTCTGAATGTATCCCAGTCCAGAATCCCTTCTCCACTGAGGTCAGCAGACCTGGTTTAAAATAGATATTTGTAGCTGTGCCTTGTGCATGGGAAATGCCTGCAGCTGAGAAATCCCCTGCTCAGCAGGTGCAGCTCCTCAGCTGGATGAGGAGTGGAAAATCACCCCAGGAATGGCAGAGTTCCCCCAGCACTGCTGCCAGGAGAACCTGGAGCAGCCCTCAGGACACAACGATGTCATACAGCAAATGCAGCCCCCGACTTTGAGCAGGAACACATTTTCATTACCTTTAATTTCTTTTGGCAGGCCATGCCAGCTCCTAAGTTTAAATGCAGCAGGAATTGTGGACAGCTACAGCGTGTCTGTCTCCTGCCCATAAAAGAAGCACTGGAGAGAAGCAGGGCTCATTCTTTTTTTATGTAACACAAGGCTGCCATTTGCTCAAAATGAAAGCAAGTGGGAGTAAATTATTTGGATTTCCTGGCAAAAGCTGCATGAACACAACACCTTTAATAAAAAGTTGATTCTTCTCATAATGCTCCTCTCCTCTTCTCCCCATGATCACAGGAGGCCCTGCTTGCTGCTTTCAGCTAGAGAATATCTTTATTATCCTTGCAGACAGTGAATAGCAAGGCATTCATTTGAACTTAATTTTTTTTGGCAATAAGACTCGGGGAAAGAATAGGGATAAAAAAATGGGAGATGTCAGGAACAAGTTCTGCCTGTAAATGCACGTTCAGAGTTCCCAGCTCCCACTTTGATTGGAATGGGGACAGGCAGCCCTGAATTTTAAACAACTGAGTTATGTTTGTCATTCAACTGCATTGTTTTTCCATGTTTTCCTGTCCTTTCCCTGCTTTCTAAGCTTGTGTAGAGCTGAGTAATTTTTACCACCTTGGCCCAGCAATACAATTATTTTCCCATCCCATACTTAAAGAGATTATGTCTATTTGTCTCAAATATCTCATATATGACAACCTGGCAAATCCACTTTAATGAAGAGGTGCTCTGGTGACTCCCAAGTATTCCTGCCTTTACAAGATCTGATTTTCAGGGAGGCAGGGGTTTGATGGATGAAATAAACCAATTTTTAAAATATATTTCAGGTAATCAATTAAAAAAAAAAAAAAAAAGGGAAACATAACTCTTTAGTAGCTGGCAGCAGTTTCAAATAAATACAAGAAAATGATGGAAGTGTAATGGCATCTGCAATGATGGAAGTTAGAGAGGAGAATAACCAGAGATGCTGCTTCCAATGACACAGGGGGAAAGGAGACTTACTGAGCTGCAGCAGGAAATTGTCTATCAAAATGAATTTAGAATGATTTTCATATGATTAAAATTACCTGATGAGACTTGTGTGTTTGATAAATTAGGAAGTACTTAATGAATCTTGTACTCCATCGGGAATTATTAACAATTAACTCGTGAGAAGATGAAACACGAGACTCACAATAAAGATGAGGATGGAGGAAATGAGACTGACCTCACACTGGAGGCTTCATCTCTGGGTGGTTCCATCAAATGCCTGATTTGTTTGTTCTGGCAGCTCTGGATAAGATGCTTTAAATTTTGAGGATTAGACAGGGATGGCAGCTGGGGAAGTGGAGAGTGACAGGAATCTCATTAAAATGGGTGGCAGCTTGTCACTGAGCTCCAGGGAGCCCCAAACCATGACCTGGGTGAGGCTCAGCCTCCCTGAGAGGTCTGGCAGGTGCCTGGCAGGTACCTCTGGGCTTTATCCATATCCATAAACATGGCTTTGGTTCTGCTCCTGCTGAATTCCATGGCTTTGCTCCCGAGGGCTGCAAGGTTAATGGGGATCTTATGTGCATCTGTGGGTAAGGGATGCAGTGACTTCATTCAATATAAAAGCCGTGTTTTAAGGTAAAAAGGAAAATATACCTCATTTCAAGAGGGAAATAATGGGAGAAATCATCACTCAGGGGTGTTGTGTGCCACCAGCTCCACTTGGGATACAATTATGTTTTCTCTTTCATACAGGCAAATGAAGAAACAGTGAGTTATGTCCCTTATTTCTTTTAAGAATAAAGTTTTGAGAAAGAAAATCTTGAAATGTTACTTTTCTCAGCATCAGAAAAATTTTAATTCATCCAGAAATTGTTGACCTTCATTTTATTAGAAAAGACAGATTTGATACTGGAATAAGCCTCTCCTAAATGAAAAGAAAAATGCTTTCTTCATTCCATAAACATCTTTTCTTGCAGCTTCATCCAAAGACTATTAAATCAAGGAAGGGCTCACTGTCAGTGCCAGACATTGTCATCATGACTTGCAAGCCCATTGTTTTTGCAGAGGAGAGAACCAAATTTCAGTCCTTGTTGCTTGGTTACAGCCCCTCCAACCCTCTTGGAATCCATGGGTTTGTAACACCTTAGAAAAGCAGACATATATAGTTTTCACTTCAATTATTTATGCAGCTAGTTGTTGATTCCTTTTTGTCTGGTGACCCCGATGAAATGTTTCACTAACTCTGCTCTCCTCCAGTCCAAGGCTTTATTCTGTTGTCCTTGGCTTTTCCCTGGAAATGCTCTCCAAGTCCTACCAGTGGGAATCAAATACTTTCCTGGAATCCTGAATGGGCAGGACAAAAAGAACTGTGTTGCCTGGGTAACTCAGAAAATAACCCGTGAGTGTGAGTGAGTGTGCCTGCTTATCTGCAGAGGCACAGATGAGCATTTGTGCATCAAAGAAAAAAAAAAAGTGTGTTCCTTTTCTAGAGCCATGCTCATCAGACCACTGAAATATCCCAAGAAATTCTCTCTTTCTGACTGACTCATCCTACACGAATGTCCTGGATTCCTGGATATGTTCCAACCAGGTAAGAGCAATAAAAGTTAACTTTCTGCTGCTGCTGAAATGTTGTTACATGTTTAGGTCTGCTTTTACTGTTCCATCAACTTAATGGTTTGATATCACCAATATGTATCAAGTTAGCACCAAAAAAGGATTTTACATAAAGAACATAAAATTGTATCAACAAACTGATTTAACCCTGAATCAGAAAAATGTTATAACAGAGAAATGTCTTTTAAATATTCTTTAAAGACGATTAACAAAATGTCAGCTCAGTCAGTAAATGCAGACTTTAAAGCCAGACTGTTCATCCAGTCTGGTCTTAACGAAGTCAGTGGCTGGGAATCCTGTGTGAATGCTGACCCTGGGCACAGGAACAGAATTTCTGCTTCCACAGTGCCAGGATTTCATGGTCTGAGCATCTCAGTTATTTCTGTATAAAAGGAGGAGGGATAATATTATTTCCTTTCTTCCCACTCTTTGTCTGTCTGCTCTGTTCAATTAAAGCACAAACCCTCTGGAGCAAACTCTGTTTTCCTGACTTTCTGTGGTGCCCAGAACAACGGAGCCTCTGGTGGCCTAGAGCAGTGAGAATAATTGGGATTGTTTCTGTCATTAATCAGACCTCAGGACAAGCTGGATTCTGCCCAGTTCCTACATATTTCATGGACATGCAGGGAAGAACCCAATGGGACACAAAAAGATGTGAGAGACACAGGGCTGAGACTGATGCCCACCCTGTATTTACCCAATTCAAAGACGAAATTACTGGTCAAAATTAGATGAAGTGGGAAAAACTATTTCTTTCTTGCAGGGCTGGGACCTGCTGCTGAATTTCTTGTCAGAAGCACATTTTTATGGGCAGGTTGTAAAGATCTGAAAAATAGTGTTTATAATGGAAAGGCCGACACCATGTAAAATATGTCGTTCCTCTGAAATAGCACAGAGATAATTTTTCATGGGCTTTATGAGGAATGCATTTGCCATAAAAGATCTGAAGCCCATTAGGCTGTGATGGGGACCAATACCTTTCATTTTATAGACAGAGGAAAAATGGTAAGTAGAAAGGCCCCAAATTACAATCTTGTTTGATTTAGATATTAATTTCTTTAGTCTTAGCAGACAGAGAAATGATTCTCTCAAGTGACCTGATGAATCTCCTAATACCCCATCCTCGCCCACCCTGTAATAAACTCAGTTCTTAGCACATAAAGTTTTAATGAAACCTGTGTGGAATGACTACTTTGTAAAATTTCACATAACGATCTGTCAGTTCAACATTTGGAACCACAGAATGCCTTTGCATGGAGCTGAAATTCTCTAATTACCATTATTCCCCTCTGCTTTACTGGCATGGTGAAATTTGCCAGCAGAATTTCTAAGAGAAGGTTTTGGAGCCCTTCAGCAACCATTGGGGGAAGCACAGACCTTTCTATACAGGAAGTCCTGACAATGATCAGCCTTTGTAATGACCAAAAAAGAGAAAAGAGAAATGTGAGGAAAAAGGAGGATAAGGAATAATTTTTCTGTGATGAAGCTGAAAGGTAGAAGTCTAAAACACAGAGGTTTTGACTATATGGCATTTCCAATTGAATATCCCCAGGCAGAGAGGATTGTGTACTTTTTCCACATTGATTTTAATCTGTTTATGCCCTCTTTTTCCAGAGCTCAAGTGAGGAAGAGGCTGTGCCTGTGGAGTGGGAGGCTCAGATCAATAGGGTGCGATTTACAGCTCCATTACAACCTTCCCCAAAATCCTGGGTCCCATCACTGCTGCTGGAGTTTAAAAGCCATCTGTGAACTTCAGCAGGGAATAACCAGTGCCCACAATACTGGGCTGCTGCAATTCCACCCTGGAGCTCTGCCAGCATCTGCACTTTGTCTGAGTGAAGAAACAAAAATCAAACGCGTTTTGAAGGGAATAATTCACTGGGCTGATTCTCAGAACCTATAGCTTTAATGCTTTAAGAAAAGTACAATATAAAAACAGACACAAACCTGACCTCTTGGTCCCCACCAAGAGAAGAATCTCTTGTTTTCATTCTCAGCTGCAAACTCAAAGAAGGAAGCCTGGAAGATTTTCCTAAAATGGCTGAGCACGTTCAAGTGAGGCAAGAACGCCCAACAGAGCGAAGAGGTGCCCATCAAGAACTTTCCTGAATGTTACCTAGAATGTGAGCCTCTTTAAACCTTTCCTTCTCATCCAATAGATACATTCATAAGGCATTTCACAAGCCATTAATGAAGCAGGAGGTGTTTTAGGCAACGAGAATACGAACTTGGAGTGGGCAAAGCTGTGAAAGGAATCGGTGAAAGCGAAGTCGCCGGAGCGAGCAGACCCGGGATTCAGCTGGATGATCACGTATCTTGCTACAGGTATCACCAACCTATCTTTAGGCACCTTGTGGAAAGGCAGTTCACTGATACCAGCTGGATCAGCCCAGGAATTTGTTTGAGGTGCTGAAGAGATTGGTAACAATAGCTCCTAACGTGACTGCGTTGCGAGGTGACAGCGTTTCCTTGGAGACAGCGAATCCATCCAGGATCCCGGCCAGGATCCCGGCAGGTTCCCCCTCCCCAGAGGCCGTGGGACTCCTTCCCTGGGCAGGGGCAGAGATGGGAAGATAAGCTCTGCCTGTAGACAAATAGCCCCGTGCAAGATGTGAGGATTTGACGCAGCAGCCAGACATGTCTGAAAGGTAGGAGGGTGCAAAGGAGACACGAGCCTGTAGTCATTGCTTGACATGCTTTGACAACAAAGATAGAGTTACAGGATTGAGTGTCTTTGTAAAATGTACCAGCCTGTGTTGCTAACAGAGCCTGCTGTGCAGGGAAAACAGGAATTCAAACAGAGTTGTTTTTCTTGGTGTCATTGCCTGATTGCTGGAAGAAAAGGCTGTCCCAACAAAAATGAGAATATTTGTTATGAAAGTGTGTGAAAGGCTCGTGGATGGAGATGTGGGCTTTGTATCAGCACAAGTTGGATCCACGAGGAAAATGTTAGTTAATATGCTAAGAGTGTATCATTATGGTGATAGGACCTAATTAAGTTAATCATGTCTTTGGGGGGACAATTTTATGAAGCATAAAGCAGGATAATTGATGCTGCAGCCATCAGCAAGGATGCTTTGTAGCCATAACTTACAGGTGTGTTTGTCACTAAATTACACTCAAAAGAACTGCTTCAAAACGTTGCATCATGTCTCATAAAACTCCTACAAAAATAATTGAAAGCTATTAGAGCATGCAAACACTGTGTCCATATCTTCTACTCTCCTAAGTTCAGAGAGTTCTCATAATAAATGTTTGCACACAAGCAGAGCTGCTCTGGAGCAGTAAATTTTGTGCATTTGAAATGAAGCACAGCCTGAATTCTGAGTTTGCCATCTTTTAAATACTTGCACAAATTGTGTTGGTGAGTTATCCCTGCAGGTCTTTTATGTGGATGACTTTGGCATTTGCCATTGACTGGGACAACAAAAATAACTGGGTGTTTGGAACCTGGGAGCAAGCACTTATTTGTGCAGGTGGTTTGGGCAGAGCTAGAACCAGCTCCCTTAGAGCCTGCAAAATCAGCAGCTCTCACCCAGTGATACAAACTCGGTGCTTTGGAAGGACTTATTGCTCTTTTCTTAGTTTCTCTAGTATGGATTTTTTTTTTCTCTATTCCTTAAAGATGATCTTAAAACACATTTGATTTGGTTCCTTCCTTCAGAATGGTCCACGTTTTTCACTCCATAATATCAGGACTGGATGCACTGAGAGCACTTTGCTGCTAAATGAAAACCTGACCAGACTTCACTGAGATCAACCACACAGGAGCAGGGCCCTTCCATCAGATTTGGCTGTGATTTGGTGGGATGTAGCAAGCACCACGGGAGTTCTGAATCTGGATATGTGAACACTACTTGTTCCCAAACCTTTTCTCCAGATCATTTCAGATTTAAGGGGAAAGCAGTCGTGGTTCAGTGAAAGCTAAGCCTGCTCAAGGATGCTGATTCCTGAAGAGCAGCTGAGGATAAGGCTGTGGGAAGTTAGACCAGACCCCAAAACTGCTCAAAAGGCAGGGACAAAAAGCTTTTCAAATCCCAAATGCAAGAGTTAGCTCATAAGTTCCTTTATCTTTACTCCTCTTTAACTGAGCTTCCCATTTTCTGTGCAGCAGAGGCAGATATAAATATTCATAAAGTTTTCACAGAATGGCCTGGGTTGGCAGGGAATTTAAAATTCATCCAACTCCACCTGTGAATTCAACCAATTCCACCTGTGAACCTGTGCTGTAGAGTCTCAGATGTTTGTTTGTCGAGGCTGCTGTTTTATCAGGAGAAAGGAGTCTTTTGACTGACACTCCTTCTTTAACAGCTAAATATCTAAAATATACACAGGAGGGACTTTTCACTGCGTGTCTCACTCAAAATCTTTCACTGGTGTAGTTTTAGAAGTAGCTCAGCTTTAGCTTTTCAAAGTCTTCCATGGACTTTTAATGCATCCTACACTTAAAGGCAGCTGGACTCAAATGCAGTGCAGTCAGGAGACCTGGAGCATCCTGGGCTCTCTGGAAAGCTGGCCAAGGGGTCAGAGGGAGGAGAACATTTCCCAGCCACACTGCTGGCACTGACACCTCAGTGAGGTGGGACTTTGATCAGGGAGCTCAGCACCGTTTTCCAAGATATGGCCTGATACATCCTCAGTCATGCTCTGAAAAATGCAGGAGCTGCTCTGTTCTCATTCCTGACACTTTGCAAAACACTCCAGGCACTGAATTCCTCACTGGGGCTTCCACTGAGGACAATAATGGAAAATGCAAGGGGTTAACCACGAGTTCTTCCAGTTACCCCAAGGCCTGTGCTGCCCCTTGTCAGCTCACAAGGAGCACTCCGGACTTCAAGGTGCCTGCCAAGAATTGTTTGGTACAATTTTGTGGGGTTTTGTTTGTAACTGAGATGAAAAATAAATGTTGTACCTGGATTTGGCGTCAGCAGCAAAGCTGTGGCCATGATAGGAAGCGGACTGAGGGCCAGCCTCAGAAATTAGAAGCTGGTCACCCACAAGATTTTTTTTTCCCCATTACCGTTTGAAGTTTCCTTTCCAAACCTCTATTACAGAATTCTTAAAATACAGTCAAGTACCTCTGCTTAAAAGACATCATAAATACTCCCCCACACCCCCCAAAAAGAGGTAGAATGGAGGAATGCAATTGCCACAGAGGGTTTCCATTAGTGAAATTAATTCTTCTCTCATAAGAATTTAGGTCCATGATTTATGATAACCACCAATTTCTCACTGCAGGCGAAGTGAGAGGAAATGACTCAGCCTGGACAGACATCATGAATCTAATTTTTTTTCCCTTAATGCTTGACATAATCTAGTGTGCTGCTCCCAGAGGTGTCATTGGAGATTCATATCCAGCCAAAGGGCCTCACAATCAAGGCAGGAAATTTTGTTCCTTTCATGTATTGTGCGATCTGTAATTGCTTGGAATTGCATCCTGCCTTGCTCATTGCCACTCCTTTTGCATCAATTGTGCAGCAAAATAGGAAGGTAAACAAAGGGAGGGAGAGAAAAGCTGTGTGGCACTTGCTCCTCCAGAAAAATCTTCTGTGACAGAATGTGGGGGTCCAGCTGGTGCTTATTGAACTCAGGCAGTTTTGAGATGAAAGATGTTTCTTTCTGTCATTCCTTCCCATGGAAATCTCACTACCCACCTGACTGGGGAAGTCGTATCCATCACTTTTTTTTTTCTTTTTTTTTTTCTGGAACTTTATGTTTTATTTGCCATCACCGATAGAGAATTTTGTGAGTGGGTTTCCTGCCAGGAGATCAGAATAGATATCATGTTAAATGGTTCAGCTAAAACGTTTTATCCCACATTTCCTGGGACTGGGAGTGTATATTCCTGTCTCAGCAGAGGAGGTAGTATCTAGCTGAGAGGAAGGTAGGTTTTGAAAAGTCTTACAGTTATAAATAGTCATTTGAATACATCCTAAAAGATCACTTCCAAACTGAGGAAAATAACAGGTCTTTTTCTTAAACACAAAAGAATTTCTACAAATTTTCTTTGGTCTGATCTCATTGAACATACAAGGAGGTAAAAGCAGAACAAACACCAAGATAGAGCTAAACAAGAATTCCCAGCAGAATTTTTTATTTTCTGAGGGTTTTTTTTCACCATTTACCCAATGTAAATCCTCTTTCCACGGGGTTGCTGTGTGTGAACTCCTGCTGCTCTGTTACACACGGGGCTGTTTGCCTCCGGGTGACCTCAAAAAGTGAATAGCTGCTATTTTCCAAAATGCTGAGCTCACACAGCTTCCTGGAAGTCACCTACAGTTCCTTGGGGCTGGTCTGACCCTTTAAAACCCCAGCACAAGGCAGGAGGAGGGAGAGCTGCTTGTCAGAGCTGCCCCTGCTCTCTGGGGTCACCAGGACACGTCTCTTCACGAGGGATTGCAATAATCTGTAATTTCCATTTTAACCAATGTTCTATTTAGCCTGGCTGTTACTCCCAGTGTGAGACCTCCTTTGCCTTCCTCCCCAAACCCTTTTAAAGCTGAGTTGTTATTCTGTATTTCTGCTCCTGACTTGGTTTGTGATGCTGACTGACAGCTGAGGCTCCCTGGCAAAGCTCCCCAAGCCTGTAGAGTAAAAGTCAAATTACAGAGCTGGATGCACACCCTGACTAAATTAAATCATTGTTCTCAGCTATTCTGTGGTAAATTCCTAAATTGCAGCTGCCAGCCTGGAAATTCTTCAATCCCTCTGAAGCACAATTGGAGAAATTGCCCCATTTGGGGTATATAAAATGTGACTTTTGGAAGGGACTTAGGCAAGGGGCTAAGAGAGCACATGAACACAACTTCAAGCTAAAGGTTGGACTTGATAACCTTGGAGCTCTTTCCCAGCACTAATGATTCTGGCATTTGAAGACTCTATTGAACAACATTCAGCTTTTCTCCAGGTCTCTGAGAATTCCCTAGAATATATCCAAGAGGTTAAAATAAATATACTAATATTAGTAAAATAATGAGTTAAAACACAGGTACAATGGAATAAAATAAATAACTGAGGGATCTTTTCATCCAACCCAGATCCATAAAAGCAGGGCTCTCTCGGGTAGAAGGGAACAAACACATCGTGCTGTTGAACAAGTTCAGCTCTCCATTTTCTCCAAGGCTCAGTTTTTCTAACAAACTCCAGTAAATTCCTCTTTCTGATGTTTGGATGTGAAAGGCTCCTGTGTGTGAGGAAATGCAGCTCAGGTGGGAGGTGAAGGGATTGCCCATGGTTTGGCTCAGGATGTGGCTGCTGCCTGCTGGCAAGTCCTACCCCAAGCTAGTCTGGATTTTCTATAATTATTTTCTGTAATTATAAAACAAAACCAATTTTTTTTTTTTTTTTGCATTTCTCTGGACAGAATCTACACTGGTTTAACATCTCCTCTCTAGCTCCTCAGGTCTGACTACAAGCAACCCAAAGTTCTTCCAACCCTATTCCTCCTGCTGCTCCATCCTCAGTGATGCACACACCATTCCACCAGTTTTACCCCAAAACAGGGGAATCCTCGGGCACAGCTGGGACTCCAGGCTGCCTTTCCCAGTAAGTGTTGGGCTCTCCAGTCTGATTGCAGGTTTGTAGAAAAGAGACATCGACAAAGAGGAGCTCAGGCAGAAATCTCTTCCTCAGCTTTGAAGTGGATTTTGTTTACTCCTTTTATCCCCCAAAACTGGGGTGGAATATAAACAAAGTTCTGTTCTTTAGGGCCAGCTGTGGCTGGGGATTTGCCTCAGGCTTTGAGCACCAAACTGATGCCATGGGCAGGTGGATAATGAGCCCTAAAAAGGTTCTCCCCAATATTTGAGCCAATTTATTGGAGTTAACCAGGATGAGCTGTGGAAAACTCCACCTAAATGTGAATTCCCACAGCATTCACCAGCTCCTGCATATGGCTCTGAATGGGGGGATTTCTGCTGTAATAAGGCCAGAAATAAGAGAAAGTACAATGTCCAAACCTCAAGAGCTTTTACTGACTCTTTTATGTCTTTATTTTGCCTTTTTTAAAGCTTCCTTCTGACTCCTTCAAGTACCTTGGCTGGTGTGACATAGAGGAACATGATGTTCGAGGGAATCAGCTCCACTGCCCCCGAGTGAGGGAAGGTAAAGATCAAAAAGACACTTTGACATTTCAGCCCTAACTCAATAGAGTCACAGAGTGCATCCTTCAAAAGGATGAGCTCAAATCATGGAGTTTGCCATTCTTTTGAAAAGGGGTAGGATTTCATCTCATAGTGCCCATGCTTGCCTTTTATTTTTTTTTCATCATTAGGAAATTACCCAAAATGAAAAACAACGGCCTGATCTGCAAATTGAGAATTTTTAGTATAAATGTGGTGCTGATTACTTCTCTCAAAAGTTCATTAACATTTGACTGCTCAGAATGCAGTGGCCATGTGCCAAACAGCCAAACAAGAAACCCAGTCCTGCAAACAGTGGCACATATATTGTGTTTTAAGGCTGAATTGGCTCAATTACAATCTATAGACACACTCAGGAACAGATGGGTTTTAAAATCCAGTGTTTGCATGTTTGGGAGTAAACAGTGGAAAATTTCCAGCCTGTCCTTGCTTCGATTAGGAATTTGAAGATATCCATAGCTCTAAACATTTCATCGAGCCTTTAAGTCTCCAGTGTGTGTCTGTGTCAACACAAATGAGGTTTGGAGTGGGGCTGCTGGTCCTTGTCACTGCTCTGGGAGCTGCAAACATTTTCCTTTCTCAGGACAGTCAAAGGCAAACTCACAGCATGGCAAGGAACAAGAAGGATTTTAGAACCCAGGTCCTCATGAACAACCCTTCAGAAATGGTTTTCATTCTGAGCTGTAGCAGATCTGTCATTTACCAGCCATGCACAAAATCCTCACGACTGTAGGCTGCTGGCTGAATTATGGGCCTGGCAATGGTAGAAAAATCTTCCCATTAATTTATATCTCAGAAGCCTGGAAACTTACACACCTATAATATTATATATATTTCTTCATTACAGAATTTTCCCAGCAATATGTAGATACATTCTTCCAGCAAGTGACTGAGTGCCAGTTCTGTATCACATCCTCACCTGTAAATCTTTTTCTCTGACCAGGGCCCTCAGAAGAAGAGCTGTTTTTCAGAAAGGAAGAACATACTCTGAAAAAAAGAAAACAAGTAACTGACACAGAGAAATGGGAAAAGAGGCTGCAAGAGAACTGGGAAAACTGTGCTGTAAAACTTTCTCATTAACACTTTGGACTGTAGCTGTAAAGAAGCCAAATAATGATGTGCTGGCTGCTCACTGCATTTAATAGGTTTAAACCTGGTACAAAGAAGGTGTCCCTGGCTATGGCAGGGGGTGGAATTGGGTGAATTTTAAATTCCCTGCCAACCCAGACCATTCTGTGAGGACTCTATGAATATTTATATCTGACTGCTGCACAGCACTTTGGTGCCAGATGAGTTTAGAAGCCAAAGCAATAAGCCAGGACCACGTAGTCCTGCTCCCTCCCCACACACTGGTAACCCCACTCATGGAGAAGGAGGAGATGGACACTAAAATTCTTGCCTGAAAATTGGTTTCTTTCTTCCCTTCAAAGAATTAAGGTTTCTGTGATTCTGAGGTGAATTTGGCACTTGGTACCACCAATAAGAGCAGCAGCATAAAATGTATTCTCATTTTAACTACTTCTGACTAATTCTATATTTAATGATACAACTATTAGAAAGCAAGGAAAAAAAACCAAAAAACAGTGATTTCTCTTATTTTTCCCTTCCCAGGAGTTGAACCTTTCCTTCCAGGACCTGGGTGATCTTTACCAGGTGGAAAACTTCAAAAGAATCCTCCGAAGATTAATTCGGGTGGAAAAGCTTTGGTTGGTGGACAATTCTTTGACAGACCTCAGTGCCATAAGGTTGCCAAGGTAGACAGAATGTCCTGTTTCTATTTTCATGTCATATCACAGAAATCAAAATTTTCCTGAGGTGGGAGCTGGAGCAGGCTCTTGGGAACTGCCAGAGCTGCTCTTGGGGGTGTTGGATTGAGAAGCCATCAGTTTATTGCTGTTCTGAGTCCATGTCATCATCCCCAGGCTGAAAACACCCAGTGAGATCAGATGGTGTCCCCTTTACTCCTGGGGAATAATCAATGAGTCTTGTCAGCTTCAGGGAGATCTGTGCCAAAAGGGGAAGTTGTTGAGCACAGAAGGAATCTCTGGGAAGAGATGGTGGAACACAACCCAAGCACAGAGGCCAAGCATGACCATGACAGCTATAAATTTATTTTATCATCCACCTGTTGCTACTCTGCTGTTGTGTATTTAGGTGTATGGGGAGTTGTAGTATTGAGAACAGGAATAATGATGCATCTGTTGTACAATATAAAAGAATTAGGGAATATAAAGTGTAGGGATCTCATCTGCAGTCCATGAATAGGCAAAACCAGCATAAATGTAAAACCAGTGTGTAAAACCCATCCCTGCTGCAGGGAGTCTGTCCCAGATGTGATAGTGATGCCATACACTTTGTACTTTACAGATGCAGAGAGCTAAATGCAAATAAAAACCACTTTACATCCTTCAAACAGCTGCCAAAGATCCCTCAGATTCAGCACTTATCTCTTGCTGAAAATAACATCACGACCCTAAGTGGGATTTCAGACTTGAGACACACTCCACTAGAATCCCTCATCCTCAAGAGGAATCCCTGTGAGTTCCAGGAAAGATACAGACAACTGTAAGTCTGAGCCCCTCATGCCTAACAAAAGTGAAAAAAAATAAAAAAAAAATGTTTGTCAGAGTTTCAAAGGAATAGGATCTCAAATCCAACAAGCTTTCTAAAGAAGCTTTTCATTTTCCCATAGTTTCAATGCTCTGAAATGCACCAGGAATGTGAGTTAGTGACCTATTATGTGATAAAAGCCCCAAAATATTCAGAAACTGCCTATGATGCTTTTTAATAGCATGACTGGCAGTTCTGGAGCTGAACTAAGCCCGTGGATCAGGTTTAGAGACAGCGAGCAGGGCAGATAAATTAAATTCCCTTTTATTAATAGAAACTACCTATTACTCAATCTCTCTTCAGTCTCATTGTATCCTTGGTGGGCTCTGCAAGGAGCCTGAATTGCATTACATGTCAGAGATGGAATCAGGACCGTGTCTGGAAAGACAGGAGCAACAGCAGGGGAAAATTAAGTTCTCTTCATTTGATTTTTCTGGATTCCCCCCAACCCTGTGGAAGCTGCTCTGCCTTGAGCAGCCCCTCAGTGAAAGTTGTGCTGCAGGCTTTGAGATGTGCTGGAGATTTAACAGAGCAGCCTCAGGCACTGGAAATGGAAATTCTAATCCAAGACATTACAATCCAAGAAAATCCAGAGGAATATAATCTATTCTAAGTCTCAGTCCTAGAAAATCTGCATGGTTGCATGTTTTTTTTTCCCCACTACAAACACAGCCAGGTGTTGATATTTTAAATATAAACCTGGCAGAGTGTGTCTGAAATTGGACACATCTCCTCCCATTGCTTCCTGAGAGGGGGAAAAAAGAAAGGAGAAATGTAAAAGAAGTTTAATGGAAACCCTTCTGAGTTTTCAGCATGTTTTCCCTTCAGTCCTGCACCCTTTGGCAGTGTGGTGCTGATGCTGATCCTGGGGGCCAGGGAGGCAGATATCAGCATGGAAGGGGAAAAGTAAACTGTAAATGATGGATCTCACTTTTATTTGCTTATCTACAAGTCCAGGAGAACAAAAGCAGAAAACCACCTATTAACAATTCCTAATTGTGTTTCTTCTCTCAATCTTAAGGCAATTAAATACAGGTACTTTTTGGTATAACTCTGGGATTATGTTCCTTCTCAGTGCTGGAAGATAAATTCTTGAAGTGCTTTATTGAGTCTGATTATATAAAAGTGGTACAATAGAGTGAAATCTGAGAGTTTTAATTAGCTCTTTATCAGATAAATTCTGCAACAAATGACAAATCAAGATTTCCAAAAACCCCAATCCATTTTAGATATGTTTGAATCCACTGTTTCTTTTTTATCAGTGTCTGTTTTGTTTTCAACACTGCCCAAGATTATTTTTCTCAATTTCAATTTTTTCTTTTCTCTCTCTTTAAGGGTGTTCTCCAGTTTGCCAAACCTGAAAATACTGGATGGTATCCCAAAACTGCCAGAGGACTATTCACCCCCTGATGTCAGTTTTTTTTACAGAATCTGCACTATACTCTAGCACTGTATTTTTGAAGGATCACAACTGTGCTTGCTTAAAAGAGACAATAAATCCTGCTTATGGAAGTTCTATTTTTTTTTTCTTTTACTGGTCAAAGAGACATTGAAACAGAAATAAAACATTTTTGAGTGCATTTGTGATACCAAGTATGGATGAATAATACATTATGTTATACTGAATATCATGAATTTGGTGTATTAAAAATAGTGTGCGATTTTCTCATCTAGGAACTCTGTGTCGACAACAACTCACAATTATTGACTCCCACTGCATTTAATTAAAACATATCCAATCTCAGACCCCAAGTTCATTGCGGGAAATGACACAGGGATGAACATCCAAAGAAAAGGAAAACAAATCCCACAGCTGAATAAAAAGCCCCACCAATGTCCAAGTGCTGTTTAATGAGTTTTATACATGGGAAAAGCTGAGCCACCCCAATCATTCTGACCCTTAGAAATAAAAAAAAAATTTAAAAAGATCTTGCTCTGGAGTTTGGTGTGGTCAGAGAGCACTGGGGAGGTAAATCATGAAAAGGAAAGGAGTCTTTTGTCTCTCTGCTGGCATTATTTGGGGATGTCCTGTTGCTTAATTGAGGCTCCTGAAAGCAAAGCCACAGGAGGGAGAGAGCTGTGGGAGCCGACAAGGGAATTGTAAAGGCTCTCAGAATTTCTGGATGCAATTACCTTTGAGAGGTGTCTGTCCTTGGCTTTGATTGATTTGCTGCCCAATCTTGGGGGTTTTTATCCCAACCAGCACACAAATAGCTGTGCCACCAACAGAGCAGGGGGGGAATGAAAGAGCCCTGAAAATGAAGCCAGTTAAGAGAATTGCCTGATTCCAGAGGCAGTCAGTAAATCCTCTGCTGTGTGCTGGCTGCAGGGGGGTTCAGCTGCAGGGAGGAGGAATCAGAGCTCAGCCCTGCAGGGTCTGCAGTGCCATGGCTCAGCAGCACAAAGATCACAGCACCTCTGGTCAACATCTGTACTGCATCCAGGCAAGAGAAATCACCAGCTTGGAAAGTTCCCAGGCTCTCCCTTAGGGCTGTCCTTGCCTCTCCCACGGCTTAGCAGCCAAAACAGGTGATTAAAATACTGCACTAATGAAATAATAAAGTTTTAAATGTATTGCAGGATCTGGCTCAGAGGATTTTCTACAGCAGTAACAGGAAAAGGCAGTGGAGCACTGCAAAGAAGTGTCAGCTTGTTGGTTATCCTCAGGAAATAATCTTGAAATTCAGAGCAGCAGAGCAGTATTTACATGCTCCAAGGTCCACCCCAGCCCTGGGAACAGAGCAGACTGTGACAAACCCCTCCATAAACACACCCCAGGATCAGGAGGGAAATTCAACAACACACAGCAAAGAGCTTTTACAGGTTCAGAGAGAGATTGTGGTTTACTCAGAAACAACAACACAAACAGGGCTTTGAAACAGGGAAACAGAACATTGTGTGCTCTACATGGCAAACTGGTCCAGAACCTTTGCTGTGGAGGGGGTAGGAACATGAAAGCTTTCTATGGGCTGAGGATAGTGATCTACCTCAGGTCTAGAAATGACTCCAGAACACATTATCATTATAAAGAACCCCTGTTGTGCCTGGGAGGGAAAGGTTGAACACAAAGCATTAAATATATTCTTTTCAGCTGAGAACAGTGAGAAAACACCGTGTTCGTGGGAATGAGGCAGGGAGCTAGAGCAGGGGGGAAACAGAGCCTGAGGGACCAGCCTTGCTGACCACCTTACCTTACTGACCACCTGTCCTAGATTACAATGTAAAGATGTGTCCACTGTATGTATTCCATCACCATCTGTTGAAATGAGGTGGGGCAGTGATCCTGATCTCTGTGGGAGAGACCCTCTGCTGATGGGTCACCTGTTAAACCAGTTGGGGCAGTGTTCTTTATCTTTTCCACAACCCATCCTCCCTCCAGGAGATATCTCCTGTTAATGGCCATGCAGTCTCACTGCGTGACTGATAAAATTCCATCATCCCATTGGGAGATGCTCCACCCAGGGGGAGGAGCCAAGCCTTTCCTACCCAGATAAAATCTGAGATTTGGAACACCAAGGCAGCCCTTACCCACTGGTTTCCAGAGGACAAGAGTTACCAGATCTTTCTACAGGATCACTGCTCCAACAAGAACACTTCATCTGGACTGCCACCACCACCCTACCTAGCGGGGTGTCAGCTTGTATTCTGACTCTATCAGTGCTTTTCTTTTGTACTACTGCACGTATTTTATTTTTTTCCCTATTAAATTGTATTTCTGACTTGGTGTCACTCACTGGCTTTGCTTTCAAACCAGTACACCACCTCACCCTGGACTGACCACCTCACCCTGACTGACCACCCTACTGACCTTACCTGGCCAAGCCAAGAGCAGAGAGCAGCTGGACACTGCAGTGGGTCTGTGACTGGAAATAGGAAAGGGGAACAGGCTTTTCCCAAAGTGCCAGACCCCAAGGGGCATTCAAACCAGCACTGCTGAAATCACAGCACAAAGCATCAAGGACTGGGGTCTGTTTCCAGAATTCAGCATCAGAAAGGGAGGCTGAGATGGGAAATTGCTCCAGTCCCATGGGCAGATGTTTCAGTGACCAGCTCCTGGTAAAGTCACCCCCACCTCTTGCAGATTCAATTAGGAGCTGCTCCAGTCTCTCCTGGGAGCAGGGGCTCTGTTCCTTGGACCTGAGTGCTGGGTCAGTCACGAGAGAAAGGCACAGACACTGATTTATTCTTTCCAAACAGGAAGTTGGTTCTGCTCTCATAATTTTTCATTTCATTATTTTAATGCTCTGGCATCCCAGGGAAATATGAGGTAATTCTGGGGAGCCTTGCTGATTTTGTTTAAAGTGCATCCAGGAACAAGAATGTGCTGGTGATGTTTGAGTCATTTTGCTGTGGAGAGATTTAAAGGAGATCAGAGAAGCACAGAATAGTTTGGGTTGGAAGGGACAGGAAAGCCCATCCAACTCAACCTCCTGCCATGGGTTACTCCAAGCCCCATCCAGCCTGGCCTTGGGCACTTCCAGGGATGCAGGGGCAGCCACAGCTGCTCTGGGCACCCTGTGCCAGGGCATCCCCCAACCTCACAGGGAAGAATTTCTTCCAACCACTCTGAAATGTAAAATAACAGCTGCCACCGGTGAGCCCAGTATCAGAGTGGCATGAAATCAATTTCCAATTACTTACAAAGATTCCTTTAAACCTGACATTTCATGAAAACTTAGCAAAGTGTTCCCAAAGTCCTGCTTAACATCCTAGGGCAGGTCCAGGGCTGATGAGCTCGAAACTGTCTCATTCAGCTGTCTCTTCACTTCTCATTATGTCTAAACCTCTCAATACAAATTAGAAGATTGAATAGAAAAATTTGAGCAATATCAAATAAAAAAACAGATTAACTAAATGAATAGAAAGAAAATAAGGTTTTTCATTCAATCATTTACTATGATCCCAGGAGTTTCAGAGCAGGATTTAAAAGATCTGTAATTATTCCAGTTCATGGGTCATGGAAGCAAAGTTGTACCAGAGAAGAAATCATCAAGTACTGATAAGCATTTCAAAATCCATCTGCTCACTCACACTTCACTTTGCAGGATGTGAAGGACAAACACCCCATGCTCTTACTGGTCCAAATTATTTAAATCACTCAGGAAAGAAAGGCTTTGAGGCAATATCCTTCCCCAGGAGTGTTCATTGCAGCCCTGACTGGGTGTGAACACAGGAAAGAGGAAAGTTGGGGATTCCCAGGAGAAATGAATTCTTTTAGTGCCTCACACTGGGCTTCAGGAGCTGGAGAGTGCACCAGAGGCAAAGCAGAGCTGATCAACCCAGCCTGTAATTCATCCTCAGGAATTTCAATGCAAATCATTCCACCCCAAATTTCCACGCTGCTGTGGATTAAATAACTTGTTGGTGAATCCCTTGAGCTCAGCCTGGCAGTGCTGGGACACAGAGCAGTCCTAAGGACAGCACAAGAGACTGCCTGAGGTCCTTGTCCACTCTCAGGTTGTTGTATCCATGAGAAATGTGCCTGGCACACCCTTTGGGATGTGCTGTGGTCAGTGCCAGCTGTGCCCCCAGGGCCACCTGCACATTCCCATGGCCAGGAAGGGATTTTTCCTTTCCTTGTCCTTCCCTGGCTCCTGTCCATGGCATTGGAGTGCTGGCAATGCCAGGACAGGGGGGACTTGGGGTTGTGGGTTTTTTTTCTGTGACCCAGCACGAGTGAGGACCCAATTCCTGCCCAGGTTGGATCCACCAGCACAACTTCCAGGATTTCAGAGCTGCAGGAGCACATCTCCATTCTGCTGCAGGGATGGAAGGGAGGGAGGCACTCCCAAAGCAGGGACCAGGTCACCAACAAGGGCACTGTGAGCTGTTAACCTTGGAGGAGCAGAACACTCTCCCCTTCCCCAGAGAGCCTTAATCTGAATATATCAGACTCTGTTCATTCATTTCACCATTTCCTTCCTGTCTGATTAAAATCAAATACCTCCTGGTTTGTTAAGCAGCTTTCAATCATCACCACTTAATTTTTGCTGTCCAATAAAACATTTTCAGCATTTTTGATTATTTCCTTGCTATCAATACCAAAAGGAAAAATGAATTTGTTGAATATGCTAACTGACACTTTGATCCATTTGGATACATGTATGAGACATGCAGAGGCACATGGCAGGAAGCAGGGTGGAAATAAGCTATTAAGATATCCCAGATCACTCATTTTTCATTTGTAATCTTTCATTCCAGACAGATTTGCTTTGGAATTGCCAGGTACACACTACATTATGCAATTGAAAGCCCTGAAGGAAAGGAAAGAAAGCCGTCAGCAACAAATGTTTGGGATAAAAACAGCCTTAAAAATAAATGTGATAATCTAAACAGGGATGAGAGAAGCTTGGACAGTAATGAACTGGGAATGAGCAGAGGATTGATGATTAGTCAAGTTGCAGGAAATGGTCCAGTCAGACTCGGAGAGTGAAATCCTAGCCAGGGTTTGTTTTTGTTTTTTTCTGATTCTTTTTCATATTGATTATTTTATTTTTACTGTG